AAGCAGTGACAGTTCATCACTGCAGCCATCCACCTGCCCCACTGAACAGAACAGGTATGTTTTTGAACATCTAGGAACAAATGGAACCACTTTTTCATCCTATAAATTTAAAGCTGAAGATGAGCTCCATGGATAAACTACAAGAAATTTTCAGGCAGTCACAGGAGGGTGACCGTTGAATTTCCTACAGACAAAAATGATGATCTTACCCATGGGGAGAAAAATCCGAACTCACCGAGGGTAAAAGGATGATAGTTGAAATAACAGCTAATATTTATTACCTGCTGACTGCCAAAGCATTTTTCATAGATTATCTCATTTAATTCTCACAACAGCTCTATAAGGTAAGTTCCTCTTTGTAAGAGGCTAAATAATTTCCCAAAGATCACATATGTAGCAAGCGGTGTCAGAGTGAGGATTCATGCCTGGGCAGTTTAACTTTAAAGCTATTCTACTAATGCATCCATCCATTCATTCATTCAGCAATTACGTGAAATGCCTACTACATGCTGGGAACTATTCAAGGCGCTAAGATACAGCTGTGAACAATGCAAAGACAAATACATGTTCTCATGAAGCTTACATTCTAATGGGGGAGAAAGACAGGAAACCAGAGCAATAAATAAAATATAAACTAGGTTAGATAGTGATCAGTGTAAAGGAAAAGACTAGAGCAGAGAAGAGAGATAAGTGTGTGGGGGAGGGTTGATTCTGAATAAGGTGATTTAGCAAGGTCCCACTGAGAAGGTGAACCTGAATAAAGATCCAAGGAAGCAAGGAAACAAACCATGCAGGTATCAGAAAGGAAGAGCATGATAGGTAGAGGAAACAGTATAGATAAAGGCTCTAAGGAGCAAGGGCAGCATGTTCTAGAAATAGCAGAGTCCAATGTGACTTGCAGAGTGATCAAGGAATAGAGCAGGAGATGAGATTAGAGGCAAATGGGACCAGGTCTTGCAGTGTCTTGGGAGTGGCTATTAGGATTTTTTCTTTTACTCTGGTGTGAGTAAAAGGGTTGGAGCAGAGGAGTGATATGAATTGACTGAATTTATATCACTCACTCTCACTGCTCTGTTAGGAGAGTCCGTAAGGGGGCAAGGATGCCAGGACAGGGGCTGCAGCACTAAGCCAGGCAGAGATGAGGTGGCTTAGACTGGTGTGTGGTCGAGATGTGGCAAATGCTTCAATTCTTGGTTTATTGTGAAGTCAGAGTCAAAGGATTGGCGACAGGTGGGACGTGGGATGTGTGAGAAAGAGGCTTTGGCTAAGGTTTTGGCCTGAACAACTAAAGTCTGGACTTGACATTTTCAGAGATGGGGAAGATTGGAGGAGGAATGGTTTTTGTTTTCGTTTAAAAGGGAGATTGTTTTAAAGGGTTATCAGATCTCAGTTTGGGACATATTAAATTGGATATGTCTTTAAGATATTCAAAAGAGATGCTGAGTGGTAAGTCTGGAGCTCTGGAGAGAAGTCCATCGGGATTGGAGTTATAAGCCCTACAAACTACTCTACTCCCTTAGAGTAACTGAAGACACTGACCCACGTGCAATTTTGGGAAAATGGTAACTGTATCAAAAAAACACCTTGAACAGTATTAAGAAAAGTCAAATTTAAAATTTCACCTATATCCTGCCACCCTAAAAACACCTGCTTTCATTTCTCCACATTCCCTTGTTTTTACCCAAATGCAAACATAAATGTTAAAATGTTGTAATAGCATAGATACAATTTCATATTCTACTTTTTTTCCCCACTTAACACGAGCCCATAAACATTTTCCTAAGAGGCTCCCATTTGTGCTTCTTGGGGATTAAAAAGGACAACAAAGTTCTGAGAAACATTTCAGAAACAAAAATTGAAAATCCTACTTTGGTACAAAGTTTGGTGCCCCTACAGCTGGTGTGCTTATTGTGATCTTTGAGTACAGTGACACTCTGGGAAGGTGGCTTTGAGCTGGGACCAGAATGGTAAGAGTTGGTTATGCACCCTGGGGAAGGGCATTCTAGGAAGAGGGAACAGCCTGTTAGGAAGCAACAGGAAAGCACATGAAAGAAACGTTCTTGGCAGATTCACTTCAATTGACAAATAGAAATTTATTTTATCTTTGAAAAAATTTTAGATATCTTTTAACTACAGAACAGTGAGTACACCCTTCTTCTGGGATTCTCGAAAAGGGAAGGAGAAGCCATATGGCATAATTTAGAACATAGTGAACCCGTGTAGATGTAGTGGTTCTTAAACGTTCTGGGCCTCAGACTACACACAAGCTCTACATGGAATCTTATTTGTTCATTCATTCCAGTCCCTCACCCGGAACCGGAGTCCACTGCCTTAATTTTAGAGAAAAGGTCACGGGCCTAAGGACAGTAAATGATCCCTGAAAAGTCTTAGGCTACTTTATTCAATTAGCTCCGCCCTTCACATCAAAGACTCTAAAAAAACAAAACATGATTCTGTGCACAGGACTCCATCGTTGAGACAGCCCTTTATTAGCTGGGAAATGCCTCACCCCTCCCTAGCTCACCTGCCTATCATTTGCATAGTTATTTACTCAAAAGCAGTAAAATTGAGAAAACAAACCTCCTCCGATTCCCGGAGGGCAAGGCGGGGAGCTGGTTTACGCTTCCTTCCAGAGCCAGCAGGGGGGGCACCAGACAAGGTTTGTGAGTCTTGCCTCCCCCACGCCAGCTCCGGCTTCTTCGCCCAACTTCCTCATAGCCACCGCTTCAACTAAAAGTGGCCATTGACCTTTCAAGCTTTTGAGTAGTGATGCAATAGAATAGTATTTCAAAGAAAAATGATTATCAAAATTTTGGATCCGGTTTTCCCACGAATGTCAATGGTTTTAAAAAGTAGGTCACATTTAAAGTAGGTCACATTTCGGGGGCGGGCGTGCAGCAAGATGAGTTCCAACCGAGGCTAGGTGATCTCCATCCGGGTGGGAGGAGGTGAAGGGTCCCCGGGCAGGGAACAAATGATAGATCTTACCGAATTTCCCGCCAGCCTTGCGGGAAATCGCAGAAACGCGCGCTCTCCAGACTGCAGGCACCAAGGCCCACCGCCCAGCATTACCCGGCGAGCTGGTAAGGGAGCCCCCTCGACAGTCGGCGCAGGTCAGCGGGGACCAACCGGAGGCAGGAAGGAGACAAGAGGAGCGGAGAGGAGAGGAGGAGCCGGGCTGGGCTAGTGCGGGCGACCGCGAGTAGCACCGCCTGGGGGAGGGGACTGAGAGTGGCCAGTGCAGGCTAAGGAGGAGCCACTCTCCAACCGCTGGCTGCCTTCTAGGACCTGGGCCGAGCGGACTGCCTCTGGCCGGCTCCCTTCGGCTGTCGGGCGTGGGCACCGGGGCTGGAAAGCGGCCTCCCCCACCCCATCAAGTGTCTTCGAGCGGAAGGGGCTTTTCGGAGAACCTGCAGTCTCTTCTGCATGCGGCTCACAAAATGTGCGGCCTGGAGGGTCGCGTGGACAAGGAGCGGAGGGGATTGGAAAGACAATCCCCTCCCCCCGCGGCGGACTGAGCGGGCGAGGATGTCTGTTATTCGCTCGACTCCGGCGCACCCTTAGCATGGCTGGGGGAGCAGGCTCCGGTAGCCCAAACGGGGACGGTGGTGACCGTGGGCTTCTCCAGCGCGTCTCCGAGCACTCCCGAGTGTGGGATCAGGTCCCCAGGCAGCCACACCACACTGCCCAGCGCCCGCGCGCTCTGAGCCCGCCTCCCCTGAAGCCTGCGCAGTAGCGCCCCAGCCTTTTTAAAGCAGTAGCGGGGGCCGCGGTCACGTGGGGCGAATTCCTGGAAAGTTCCTGGAAAGCGGCCTCCGCAGCGGCGGGGCGGGGCGCACTGGGAGCGCGGACCGGGCCGAGAGGCGGGGAGCGAGGGAGGCGCGACGGGCTGGGAAGTCGCGCGCACACTTCGCTCCGGGGACAGACGTTTAACTCTTGCCAAGTCTCGCCGCCGCCGCGGCTCGCGAGCCTTGGGCTCCCCTTGAAGCATGAGCCTTCTTGCCCGCCGCCACCGGCGCTGCACGGGCAGCGGACAGTGCGCGCCAGGGCCCCGGGCGCACAGCCTCAGGATCCCCTGTGCCTGCAGTCCCGGCGCCGGAGGAGCTCGGGCCGGGGCTGGCTGCAGGTACTGGTCAGAGGAGCCCTAAGGCTCCGCCCCAGGAGGGTCGCTGGGGAGGGCAATGGGGCGCGGTCGCGAGCGGCGAGCGGCCGTGGCTTCCACAGTTTAGAGCCGTTGGAGGAGAGAGTCTGAGCTGTGGTTCTGCCTCGCGGCTAGGCGCTACTGCCGGCTTTCTCCGGTTCCTTCCCGGCGTCGGGAAGTCTCTGGAGTTTTTTTTTTTTTCTCCCCCTCCTAAACTGCCATCCAAATTAATAATCCTCCTAATAACCTGATCTCCCGCTCCTCCCCACCCGCCTGCCTCCCGCCCTGGCTCCTTTACCCCTCCCTCTGTCCTTCCCACCTCCTTGGTCACAGCCGGAGGGAAACCCAGCAGCTGCCCGGGGTTGGGGGTGTCCGAGCCCGGAAGGGGGTGTCGGAGCCTGGGGGGTCTAGGCGATGATCCCGGAGCTTTTGTTTGTCCTCTGCGCTGAAAACTCCGGTCGCTGCCGTCGCTGAGTGCCGGGTTCGTCGCATCCCCAGCCATTTCATTCTCAAATTAAAAGTCGACAGGGAAAACTCGGGCAGACACCTCTCCTCTCCCGGATCCCTCCTGTCTCCCCCGCCCCAGGTCCGCAGGGGTGGCTGCCGGGCGCGGAGGCGGCGGCCGAGGCCGAGGTAAGAGCTCGGTATTCGTTGTCTTGCACGTCCCGCGGGCTCTCGCTGCCGCCTGCTCGGCCCCGGCCCGGGCCCGGGCTCCGAACCCCCGCGAGGGCTGCGCGCGAGGGCCGATTCCTCGACAGCGCCCGCGGCGACAACAGCAGCCGTTGCCGCCGCCCGGTCTCGGGAGCGGCCGCCACAGTGTCCTGCGGCGCCCCCCACCCCAGCCCGAAGCGGACCCTGGGAAGGGGGTGGGGGGGAGGGAGACCGAGGCAGCCTGTGGGCCCGGGATGCAGCAGCTCGCGCACCTCGGTGCCTAGAGTTGGCAGCCCCGGCCCCGGGAGTCCCACGACGCTATAGGGCGGGGAACCAGGTTTGTGCCTGGTGCTTCCTCCCGGGGCTCCCCGGGCTGTGCGGAGTGTGAGATAGGAGTGCCAAGTTGGGGATCGCTCCTGTTCTTTCCTTTAAACAAATTTTCCACTTGTCCTTGACTAGGGCCTCTACACCGTACCTGCAGGTGACTCTGCTGTTCTTGTCCACTAGTCTGATTTTAGCCAGCAGCCCTGGGAGGGAAGACACCCGGTTCCCCACCCTCATGCTGTTTCCCCCTCACGGCCCCCTCCCCCATCTCCAACTCTGGCGTCTCCGATCCCTACTCTCTCTTTATCCTCCTGTCTCTAGAGCTGGGCCAGGGCAGTAATTGGATGCTTGGGGTTAAATGGTGCGGGAGCATAGACGCGGGAGGAGTCCACGGGATTTTCCATGTCTGTCTCCCCACCCACACCCCAGCCAAGGGTCCATTTCGGACTGACCCAACCCCACACTTTCTCTTTGCAGGCAAACCGTGGGTGACCGCGCTTGCGGGGGATTTTGCCATCCGTACACTGGGACCTGGGGAGGAAGAACCAGCAGCTCTCACCCCCCTCCCCTCCACCACCATTTTGGATACTCCGCAGGGACGCGTTTTGGGGTTCCCACTGACTTCCAGGAAGGACGCGTGCCCCTCTCTGACCCCAGCTCGTGTGGCCACCTGTCTTTGCCGCGGTGACCCTTCTCCCATGACCCTGCGGTGCCTCGAGCCCTCCGGGAATGGCGCGGAAGGGACGCGGAGCCAGCTGGGGAACACGGGGTCGGCGGAGGAGCCGTCCCCGGAGTCGGCGCGTCTGGCGAAGGCCTTGCGGGAGCTCAGTCAAACAGGTAGGGAGCAGAACGGCCGCGACGCGTGTGAGAGGAGGCGCCTCCCCAAAGAGGGTGCTGGGGGCTGTGCTGGCGGGGAGCACAGCTGGGAACTGGGGCCGAGACGGGAAGCAAAGAATGGGATGGGAAAACGTCCCCTCGCATCCAGTCCCCGCCTCAGGGCGGGGGACCGCAGAGAGGATGCCCGCAAGGCCCTGGATCCTTGGGAATGCAAAAGGAAAGTGATTCTCATAGGCACAGCGCTAGAAGGGCTCCTTGGAAATTGCCCCTAGGGCGTTTTTGGAACCTTGGCTATTTTCCGCACTGCGCAGGGGTCGTCGCTCTGCCTCGAACCCAAGCAGGAGAAAGTGCCTGGCGCCTCCCTTTCCGCGGGGTGCGAGGCGGCGAGTGGGCGCCGCGCTGCCGGCAGCTTCAGCTGCATCCGGCTCCCGGACGGAGCTGCCGCTGCAACCGGGAACCTTGGCGGCCAAATTGAAGGACCGACAGATTGCGGCGCAGGCGGCTGCCGCGGAGCCGGGGAGAGCGCGGCCCGCTAAGCCCCCACTGAACTCGCCCTTTAGGGACGGCGCGCCCAGGGTCTTGCCATCTTCAACTGTAGCCCTGCGCTTTGCGCGGCTCGCTTTTGTCTCTGGGCCGCTGAAAGAAGAAAAGTGAAAAAAAAAAATTATGGCAAAGCATCAGGCTTTCAAAATCTGGATCCTAAAAGCTCACGTTTGGGGCAAAGTTGAAGTTTTGGTAACGCTAGTGAGAGAGGCAAGTTCCTTCCCTTGGAGTTGAGGTCTTTCCGTGTGGGCCATGGGTTTTTTCCTCAGCGGAGGGACCAGCAGATTCGGGAATCCGAGCAATTTGGAAGGTTGGGGTTGGGGTGGGGGTGGGGGTGCATATTGTTCAAATTTCTTAAATGAGTAATGTCTCTAAGGCATTTTTGAAAACGGGATGGGCCTGGGAGATGGTGCAGGCAGATCAAATCGAGAATGCTGGGGAGACCGACGGTTGAGATTGGATTTGGATTAAGGCAAAGTCCAAAAGATTGTAAACTTGAAGTACTAATTATCAATTGGGGTTTCCCTCATTTCTCAGTGACTGATAAGGTAGTTGTAATTGGAGCAGCAAACAGAAACTATTGTATTAGAACTGCATTTTTTAAACAAGTAAATAACAGTACTTTCCAGGGCTTTGTACAGAGAAATGCAGCCATTGACAGGTTTGGGGAGGGTGAGGGTGGACACCAACCATCCAAAAAGTTGCTTCTGTTTTTTTCTCTATTGGAATTATTGGAGTTGGGTTTCCCACTTTTTTAAGGGCATGGCTTTTATTTCTAACTTACGATTAATTTCTAATTCACTTTAAGTCTTCGGTTTCACTTGAGTGGTGCTGGGGGCATCATACTTTGTCATATTGCAAATATTCTTTTGTTTTGTCAGGAGAAAAATCTTAAGATACTTTAAAGAACAGCTACAGAAAGTTACTTTTAAAAAAGAAAACTGGCTCACAGTTTGTGTTCATAAAATAACATGGACCCATGTTTTCATTAAATTTCTACCCAAAGTATTTGTGGTAGCCTCCGGTAAACTTTCACTCACATGCTTTTTAGAGCTAAAAAAAAAATTGTTGTCAGGTACTTGCCCCATTTAAAACATTCTTTCTAATAACAATTTTACCTTTTCTTTTTCTTTTTGAACAAAAACCCCAGGTTGGTACTGGGGAAGTATGACTGTTAATGAAGCCAAAGAGAAATTAAAAGAGGCACCAGAAGGAACTTTCTTGATTAGAGATAGTTCGCATTCAGACTACCTACTAACAATATCTGTTAAAACGTCAGCTGGACCAACTAATCTGCGAATTGAATACCACGATGGGAAATTCAGATTGGACTCTATCATATGTGTCAAGTCCAAGCTTAAACAATTTGACAGTGTGGTTCATCTGATCGACTACTACGTTCAGATGTGCAAGGATAAGCGGACGGGCCCAGAAGCCCCCCGGAACGGTACTGTTCACCTTTATCTGACCAAACCTCTCTACACTTCAGCACCACCTCTGCAGCATCTCTGTAGACTCACCATTCACAAATGTACTGGTGCCATCTGGGGACTGCCTTTACCAACAAGACTAAAAGATTACTTGGAAGAATATAAATTCCAGGTATAAGTGTTTCTCTTTTTCTAAACATGCCTCACATTAGAGTATCTCCGAATGCAGCTATATAAAAGAGAACCAAAACTTGAGTGACTGCTCTGGATAACTACACGGAATTCTAAGAACAGCTGAAGTCAATCTAATTTAAATGTGTGATGAGGTAGCTAGGTATTTAAAGTTCCCCCAAATATTTTCACCTGAGTAATGCTTCCCTTCCTAAGACTGACCAAGACTAGTTGATCCTTTTAAGTTAAAAATTAAATGTCCCAAGTAAAGGCTGAAGTAACATTTTATCAGAATGCCTGGCCTTTCTGAGGTTCCTTTCTTTTTGGTGGAAGGTCTAGTAGAGAACTCATCGTCTGTAGGAGTACGTAGGAATACTCAAGAAAGGAGAGGAAACTGACACAGGCTTAACTTCAATTTTATATATATATGCCTGGTGATCAGTCTATTTTAGGACATTTTATATTTTGCATTCTGATGTAGCTAGGAGTTTTGTTGAACAGATATGCTTGTATTTATCCTTCATTTTATGCAATTAACCAAATCAACCAAAAAAGTGACCATGAAATCCTGTATTTGTCTTTTTACTACATGTATGAACTCTCCCATGTGAGTGAGTACTGTAGTAATCCATTTTAAGGGAGCCTTACTTCAGAAATATTTCAAACTGGTGCAAACGGAAAAGACTTTGTTTTTTCCTTTAAGGCTAAAGACAAGAATGTCATGCTCTACAGGTGCCACTTAATCCCTGTTAATAAAACCATGTAGATACAGACATTTTACTTTTTGAAGTAGCTGTTGCCAACCTGGTGTCACAACCTGTTGCCATGGATTTTTTGGAAATGGCTTTAGAAATTTCCAACTTGTCCTTGAATTGTCTAACCATGGACATCAGCAGTTGTCTCCCTTCTACCATGTAGAAAACTTTGACTTAATTTTCTTCCATATATAGGGGGATACCTGCCTGTTTTTCCAAGTGTTTATTTACTGCTGTTACTATTTGATTAGAATGTATTAAATAAAAAAAAACACCCTGACTTTTACAAGTTGCACTTATTACTTTGAATCGTAGAGAACATATGCTTTCATGGTAATAGAGGGTTGCCATAAAAAAACTTACATCAAGTGAAATAAGCCAGATATTCAGCAAGAAGTTGAGCATTACTTGCCCTTCTCTGAAGTAATGGGTTGTACTTGCCCTTTGCATTTTGGAAAGCATGCTTTAGAAACTATAAGAACTGCCAAGTGGCCCTGGTCTTTTACAAGTTGAATAGGCATAACACTAATGCTCTTTGTGTTTCCAAAAATATGGTATAGAAACTATAAAAATTGTGACACATCTGAGTCCTTAGCAGGTTGAGTAGGCATAATGCAAAATAAAAACAAAGTTTTATGGTGATTTACTTTTGGCCTCACAGTCGCATGACTATCGCATATGAACCATCTTTTCTGGAGTCCAGACATTATTCATTGGCCATCTTTAAAAAAAATTGCCTGCATAGCCACATATGATGGTGTGTCACTGGGAAGGCGGACCCATATATCATGCGTGTGCCCCAAGTGAATTATGCTCAGAAGCATATAATTTATGCTTATAAATTACAGTAAAACCTGCTTATCGCAAGCTCTTGAAAAATGGTTTTGTGCCTGGAAAGAAGACAACTATGTGTGTCCAAACAGAAGATTGCTAGGTGTAAACTTAGGAAGAATTTGTAGTCTAAAATTTAAAGAAGAGCTATACATTTAAGGTATATTATCGGAAGATAACCTTTCCACTGAGATGTTCAGGTTCTGTGCATTATTTATCCTTTTTCTCCACTGACAACAGTTGTCGAGTGTGGAATGTTTGACTTCTCTGGCAAAACTCTTGCATGGCTAGTGCCAAGGGGCTTTGTGGAATTTCTTAAGGTCTTTTGCATTTCTATTCTCATTTCAAATACTCTGCGGTTTCTTATTTATTGAGAGTTGCATGCACTAGTGGGGTATGAGTACCCGTGGAACTCTGGAAAGTTCAGCATTATTGCTAGCAAGTGACCAATTATGAGAAAAACAGGACAACAATGACATCTGTGGAGTGTGCTGTGGAACTATTGCCTTACATTTCAGTCTTCCTTATTCCAAGTAAGTTGATAAGCATCAGAAGACAATCTCTCTCTCTCTCTCTCTCTCTCTCTCTCTCTCTCTCTCTCTGCAATTACTAATGTTATTTATTGAGTTTTTGTGTGTCACGTTTTCACTCAGCAGTTCACATGTATTAGTTCATTTAATCCTCACGCAGACCGAATGAGCAAAGTACAGGGATCACAGGAGGTAGGTATGCCTTCTAATTTGTGTGTGAGGTGGCATTCCAGGAATATCCTAGCCCTTTTTATGCCTGGAGAGGAATTACGAAGAGCCGCTTGCTACTATTTCTACATTGATCCAGATGAACAAGTTAGAGCAGGCTATAAAAGGAACCCTCAGCACTTTTATTGTTGCCTCAACCAGTAACCAGAAAACTATAGGTGCCTTAATGAGTGTTGCGTTCTGTGGAATTGCAGTCAGCTGGGCCCGCTGGTGTTATCCTGGTGGGGGTGGGGGGTCAGGAGGGGGTTCACTGTTTTCTTGGTGGCTGGTAAATGATGCCAGTTACCAATTATTGTTGCCTCATTTTATGGACGGTTGCACAAAAAAGTTAAGACGTACCCTTGTCTAAATTATCCTCAACAGAGCCAGGAAAAATATCCAGAGTTATCTCCCTGGGTAGGGCAGTTTGGGACATTAGTAAGGGCATGTATTATTGTTGCTGCTGTTGAAGAATGTCATATATGGGACTTACATGTCCCCACAAACTTAAAATACTTTGATCTGAGTTTCCATTGGGAGCAAAATTGAGGCAGTGGAGTTTTTCATTCCATCCCAGTGGGCACTGGGGACTGCTTTTTGGGTTTTTTTTGTGTGTTTTTTTCTCTCAGTGCTCTGGACAGTGGTGGAGAAAAGGCAATTCAGTTTATGAGCCGAGAGGTTTTTTTCTGGCGTGTCAGTAAGAAAGTCTTGACTTCATAGTAATTATGTAATCCAAATAGGTAACAGAATGGGACAGTTGTTTGGGAGTGTTTATTTTCTTGGGAAGGATTTTCTCTGCTTTTAGAAAATTGTACACTGGTAGGAGGGTAGGAGACAGAGACGTCATCAAATAATCCACAGGGTGGAATGTCCTGAGACCAGGCCTTGCCCTGCTCGGTGTGGGTGTGAGTGTGGGTGTGGGGACAGGGTGGACGAGGGGTGAGTGGCTGTGGTTACATCGAACAGCTGGGCTGAGGCCTCTCTTGTCTCAACAGTGGTTGTTTCTAGCTTTTGGAGCAAAAAAATAGTGTTGTTATTCCTTCGAGGCCTTTCCTTTACTAAGGCCTGCCTTCTTTCCCCATTTTTAACTTCCTAGAATTTGAAAGCTTGGAACCACTTTTCAGATCACATATTTTAGTTTTATCATGTTACAGAAGAAGACTTTCAGACCCTGGGAGGTCAGGCGATTCATGTAAATATGTGCACGTGTGCATACACACACACACACACACACACACACACACACACACACACACACACACACTCCAGTACATCAATGGCAAAGTCAGTGAACACATATTTTAACCTCAGATTAAGTATTTGTGAAAGCTGCATCTACTTTGTTTAAATGGTTAATACCCTTCTTTTCTACCCTGTTAGCCCTACAGTTCTTTTAATATCACATTTCTTTTTTCCCTCTGAAATTAGACAGCAGGCCTTTGGAATACCGTATAGGATAATTCCAGTTCTTGGCTCCTTCCACCCCACTCCAAATAACCAGCTTTTGCTGGATTTTATGATGTCTTGATCCACATTAGAGTTTTGCGTTCGTTTTAACTCCTCCACATTTCTAACCTATTTGCTGTTTTAAAATCTAAAACCTGCCATCCATGCTGTTTTGTGATCTCATTGCTGCCTCTACCAGATGTGACAAACACAGCCTTGTCCGGGTGACTTCCACCTCCTGTCCGCACCAGTGGAGCCCATTCTTTTGCCCACTCATGGGCACAAGGACACCGTTAATTTCTGCCTTCCTTTCTAAACCCTTTTGTACCATAAAGTTGCCCTTTTGGCTCATCGGACACTGCCCTGCTGGCCTGGCCGTATTGTACTCCAGTGAAAGGGTGATTCTATTCTCCTTGAGTTAGGTAGTGGAGTGATTTAGAAGACCTTAAGATTAAATCTCTCTCAGTCTCACTCTTTGAAGTAGTCAGCCTCAAATACCACACTTTTGTTATGCATGTTTTATGTTTTAAGTTTTTTGGGTTTTGTTTTATTTAAAGTATCAGAGGCTCCTTCTTCACTGTCAAGTTCCATTTCATTTGAGTGGAATGGAAATACGTAAGAATGATTCTGTGATAGTCTTTTTTCACGCCTACGTAGGCATACTTTTCTTTTATTCCCATCTTCACATATTTCTGATTTTTCTAAATTTTCCTCTATGTGGCTTGAGTTCAGGTTACTTAACTTTATTACCAAAGTGAAGTAACAGCTGTTGCTACGGTAGCCTCAAAAAGCCCTGGAGTCCCAAATGCCTAGATAGTAAGCTGAAGTCATGGAGCAAAGTGGGATACTCCTCTCTACCCTTTCAGGAGCTTTGTCAACAAAAGAGGAAGGATCAGAGAGTGTTGTCACAGAGAATGGGGTTCACATCAGTAAGCATTCACTGAGCTGTAAAAATATAACTGCTCTTAGAGACACTCTCCCTCAGAACTACATCCTTAGCTTTCAGGAACTCTTAACTTGCCCTAGAGATCAGGAGCGCATTTTGTGAAGTACTATTTGTCATGTGGTGCTGCCTGTTAGAAACAGAGGGAAGAGAAAAGCAAGCCTGAGTCCTGGTGAGGAGAAAGGAGATACTTTTTGTCTAAGTATTAATACCGCCCAAAGAGCCCCTATTCTATGGTGAAAACCATGAGACTTCATCACAGAACTTCATAACATTTTTTTTGGTATCTCCCCAGTTTTCAACCATGTTAAGATGAAAATTCATATTTTGCTAAATGGTTTTCCATTCTGTTCGTTTGGTATGCTTTTTCCTGTTTAGATTTTGGTCCAGAGGGCGGCTGTGATCTTTAACATTCGGGAAAATATTTTCCATGTTGTTTCTACCCAGAGAAGTTGTTTCATTTCCCATTTTAACCCTCCCACCGCCATCTTGATGAGCTTGACCCTTCTTAGGTTTCCAGTATAGTTTATTTCTCCTCGTTTGTATTTCCGTTTCTTTCTCCTCGTTTGTATTTCCAGGCTGTGGCCATCAATTCTATATTTGGTCAAAAAGTGTGTTTGCATTTTGCACATTGATTAGGGCATCTGCTTCCAGTTATCTGCAGTAATAGGGGCAGTGAGAACGGGGTAATTGAAACTCATGAACACATCTAGCTAATACTAGTTTCAACCTTCCTCCCTATTCCATCTCCTTTGCTAGAACCATGGACAGAAAAATCAGCTGCTTCTCTGTTCTCATTTTATTTTCCCCATCCATCAGGCAATGATGATGGTAATAAATAACAAAGCGACTAAAAAGATGGCAAGAATGAGAAAATAAAGGATGGAGAATCAGTGGCATGCTGAGGGCTCCTGAAAGCCAATTGTTAAATACTTAGGGATTTTGTGAGCTAAATCATTATGAGTAAATCATTGGTAGATAGAAAGCAAACTGTGGTGGGAGTATTTGCACCACAGGAACTGGCAGACACTACAAATTAAGCCCTCCCCCTTCCACCCCCCCCATCCCCCATGACAGCTGGTTTAAGGACTCACCACTGAGCTAGGTAATGGTTTCTCCTCAGTAATTGAGACCTCACCAGAGTAAGATCAGTTTATTTGTATTCTCCTTTGTATCAAGCCCAGTGTTTAGAGCAGAGTAAAATAAACAATGAGGAACGAATTGTTTTTTAAAATATGTGTGCCACTCCTATATTGGGCTGTACTGCCTTCTATTGGTAGATCTGCCAGTCTCCTGGTTCGGTGTCTTTTCCTAGGTACACGGCAGTAT